CGCATACTCCCTTTCACCAAAGAAAACTCCCTTCAGGTACATGAAGCCCAGCCGATGCACCCGCAGGTGGGCCAAGGCGTAGCGGAGGAGTGCCAGGAGCTCAACCGCAGGTTCGGCACGCACAAAGTACATGTTGGGGTTCCACCCACGCACCAAACTCGATCCAGTGAACGGGGCAAACGAGACAAGGCCATGTCGCACAATTACGGGCAGAGAGATCGCAGCGGTCATATCACCGATGACGCCTGCCACAAGAAGAATATTACTATCGGCTTTCAACGCTTCTTCTATCACCGCTCCACTTGTTAGCATTGTGGTGACCTTCCTGACAATCTCTACATGAACACCGTCAGCAACAGTGAAATTGCGCCACCAGAGTGCCGCCTCTAGTCCAGCTCCAAATGAATCCGCAAAGTTCCGGTCAATTGGGATGTCCGTCACATTCAAAGTTAACACCTTAACATTGGTCTCACAGACAACTGGTTTGGGTACGACGACTTGCGGAGCAAACAGGAGCAGCAGGGCAACGACAAGGCCGGCCACCGCTGCAAAAGCATGCCCTTCTCGCGGCCACGCTGCCACCCATCCCCCCACCGCCATGCTTGCTGTCTTGAGACTGTCTTGCTGTGTAGCTTGTGGCTTCCTGTGGAAGAAAAAAAAGAAGGCAAGTAAGGCACAAAGGGGAAAAAGAAGTAAGTTGCAGTGAAACTGCTTGACCTAACAGCGGCGTGTAGAATTTAATGAATATTTTTCGGGCACAGCTGAGAAAAAATTGTGCTGCACTGTTGATGCCTTCGATAGATTTCTTCCGCATAGTGGCATCCGGCTGCCGCATTTCCCCATTTTTTAAAAAGAATATGGGCAATGCGCTCGCCAAGCTAAATCGGGATTTGGAAAGTGGTAGATGCGTAGGTGTCGTAACGAGGCACAGAAAGAGGCGTTGAATCGTTGGATGTCCCGCGGAGCAAACACACACACACGCGCTTTTATAACGGCACTGTGCGTCGTTTCCTCGCTGTCATTCTTGTCCCCTTTGGCCATAATGGCAACTCTCCGCGCAGGAGAGCGGACGTGCTTTACGATGGCGGCTGGTGTGCGAGGCCATCAGATTTACTCGAAAGAACACGGTGAAAAACAAATTAAAAAACAAATGCAGTTTCCCCCCAGTGCATTATTGCCAGCCTCGCAACAAGGGAATGTGATGGAGAAAACAAAACCCCGCGGCAATCGTGCGCTGCACTTTGTGTGTGTGTTGCGCGGCGTGGCCGGCGCCTCGCTGACGGTGTGTGCATGGAGGCAGCACGGGAAAGAAATGCCGGACATCGCAGCGTTAGATGGTCCCTGCCGCCACGCGGGATCATATAAACTCGGCGCCGCCCCTGCGTTGGTGTGTGAGCGGCCCGCCCAGCGCCGGCAACACACACCGCAACAGCCATCAACAATCAGACGTCCCCTCGTCGGGGCACACACGCGTCAAAACAATGGGGACGAGCCGGCGCCGTGCCGGCCACACCCGACGTCACACGCCATCCTAAGAGAGAAGAGACAAAAGGAGGGAAGAGGGGTGTGCCCAGCCACTCAAAGCCACAAGAGACGGGGCAGAGAGACATGCCACCACCGGCACGGGCAAAAAAGCACAAATTTCATTTCTCAGAAATAAAAAAACGGGTAACACGCCATGGGACACACACGCACACAGACGTCTGTTCTCGTGCAGCCACACCGTCAGTAGTGACAGCGAGGAGAAAAGGGCCATGCAGGCGCAATACCAAAAAATAAAAATAAAAAAATCTCTAACTCAAGCAACCAAGCAATAAGGAAGCACACTTGTCGGCAACCACCGCCCTTGCCGTACCCCAATGAACTCCCGGCTAAAGGCCCAGGTAAATCAAACGTAAGAAAAAAAAACGGAATAAATAAGGAGGAAAATAAACAAGGGAGCGGAATAGAGAGGCCATAAATGCACCTCGTTAATTTTTGCCGTATATATATTATATTATATTATATTATAGCACATAGTTACGCACATGCCGCATGACAACACAATCGCACGCGGGCACAACGTGGCAGGTCGAACGCTCACAAAACCAAAAACGTCTTCAAAAAAACACCAAAAAAAAAAAATGCACCTCCGCCGCCCCCAGCTCTCCACACGCGCAATCAGCACCAACAATATGCACATATAAATATTCTTCACGCACATACAGATATAAATAGCTCTCTCTCAAATCCATCAAAAATAAAAATAAAAACAAAAATAAACAAGACAGAGGTCATGCTTAAAATACCCAACAGTAATAAAAACACACAAACCAAATCCTCCACAACGATCGAAACAGACATGACGCTTTTTCTGCCTCCACCACAAACATTACGGCAAAGTTACAACATCCCAGCAGAGAGCCGTCATCACATTCCCAATGCCGCTCAGTGCCCACCGCTCACCCGCACAGAGCGCACCCCCACGCACTCCCTCAAACAAATAACAAAAAAACATCACCCCTCAGCATACATGGTGCACTCGTTTGCGTGCGTAATTTATAACCAAACAACAATAAATAAAAACCAACAGTCAGGAATAAATACATAAAGAGGCAGTGGTACACGATGAAACCGCCCAAAAAAAAAAAGTTATTACGAAGTAACCAAGAACAAAAACAATTGAAAAAAGTCCACACTGTCGTTGCTTACACAAACAGGCACAACATCAAGTACAGCTCGTGCCCCCAATGCCCACACACCATTTGCTGGCGCACAGAACCACAATTTACACTGGCCGACAAACGTGAATGGTGGCGACCGGGTCCTCTTCCGCCGGCCACGCTTCTCCCACCGCAGACAAAGACGCCTGGCGCAATCCGCTCCGCCGACGAAAGTCCACGGGAAGACCATTTCTCTCAAAAGCGGAGTTACGCAACCGCAACGCGCCTGTGCTCCCAAGAGAAGCATTGTCTGACAAACTCAATGTGCGCAACCCTTCCTCAAATGAGGCTCCATAAACGCGTTTTTCAATTACGCCGCACACCTTCGCCGCAAGCCGCTCCATCGCCGCACGGCAGGCGTCCTTGTCACGCCCTGCTCCGGCCCCGCTCGGCACCGGGACACTCCAACGCTGGCACAAGGGAAGCAGTGCCTTCAGCCGCTGCGGGGCTGCAAAGGTGCCAAACAGCACACCCAGCACAGACGCAACGTAGCCCGAGGGACCGCCACGAATGGTGGATACAGAGCCATCACCACTTGCCACATCACTAACCTCTTCCATAACAGGCATCTCACGCTCAAGGCGCAGCGCGGCAAAGGTGCGCCCGGGCACGGCGTCCAGCTGGTACATCTCCACGGGCTTCGGCACTCCGCGCAGCGCCACGCCGCCAAGCGCAGTCACCTCCACATGCTTGCGCTCAGCCGTGCTCAGCGCAAAGTACGACGCACGCGTCAGCAGCACCTGTCCGCCGTTCAAAATGCTCTCCGTGCGCGCGGCCGTGTTCGATGTTTCGCCGTAGTAGTCGTACCCCCTCGTCACCTCGTCGCGCCGAATGTCACACAGCCCGGTGTGCACCCCGACACGCACGCGCAGGCCGCTCCAGTACTGCCGGTACACAGCAGCGTCCAGGCGCGCTGTCGGCGGCACGTACTCCCCTTCCTCCTCAGCACGACCCTCCTCAAACATGCGGTACGTGTCGTCGATCACGCTCGTCCCCCAGTCGTGTTGCAGGAACACCTGCTGCAGCTCCCCCACAAGCTGCACGGCGGCGAACACACTCTTGCACGCAATCATGAACGAGTCGCCGATCGTCTTCACCTCGTAGCAGCGGTACTTCGCTATCAGCGAGCGGATCAGCCGGTGGTGCGTCGCCACGGCGTCGGGCATCACCTCGGGGCACTCAGCCCACAGCGCAGTGCTGCTCTCGATGTCTGTGAACACAAGCGTCACGGGGTGAATCCGATTCTTCGGTGCGTTCGCGTTGTTGCGCGAGTCACGGCAGAAGTACAGCACCACAGCAACAAACAGCAGAGCTGCAGCAACGCCGCCGACAATGACGCCGATCAGCTGCCGCGCCGTCAGTTCACCCGCAGCGGATTCCACGTACTTCATCGACGGATTCACGGCATGGAACAGCAGGGGCACAGCAGGGTCCAGCGCACGGGCAAGCGGCCACACAGAAATGCGCTTCGCACCGTAGTTCACGCCG